TTGCATCCATTTTCTTTTACAAATGTTAGTGGGAACTGATAAAATTTGTCAAATAAATCCAAGTTGCACACTTAAAATTTCCTTACAGCAATCCCGAAAAATTCTCCAATTAAGTTTGATGACTTTTTGGGAAGACTAATAATCAAGCAAGCTAGTTGGAGACAACATGGCAAAAAAGCAAAAGAGAAACAATATCCGTGTTCAAATTGATCTCACTGTCAAATTGTGCATTGTTTCGTGGAAGCCACCATCAAGAAGTCTCCTCTCGAAGTCTTTTTAACCAAATACACATATAGCGTCTCAATTAACAGTTTCTGGACCGCTTATCAACTAGACAAAAACCATGTCTTCTTCTTCTTCTTCTCATCAATGGAAACATGAAGTGTTCGTGAGTTTTAGAGGCAAAGACTTGCGGAACAACTTCATATCGCACCTCTTCCGAGGGCTAGAGCAGGCGGGGATTAACTACTTCAGCGATGACGACAGGGAGGACACTGGGGAGGAGATCCCGTGCAAGCTCTTCAGAGCGATCCGCCACTCAAGGTTCGCCCTCATCGTGTTCTCCGCGAACTATGCTGACTCCAAGTGGTGCCTGAACGAGCTGGTCGAGATCCTCGAGTGCAGAAGGCAGCTCAAGAACCACGGCCACATAGTTGTTCCCATCTTTCATGGCGTGGACGCTGCGGACGTTTCAAACTTGATGAGCGGAAGCGAATTTGCAAGAGGTTTCGAGAGGTTGTGTAGGAACAAAAGAGACGATGTGCAGATACGAATGTGGAGGGATGCCCTAGCAGAGGCTAAGCATTTTTCGGGTTTTAATTTGAAGAACCACGCCAATGGGTACGTTCCTGTGATCCTTATTTCATGTCGAACCTTTATATCTTGATCTGTGATTTTTCTTTTTTCGTTATCACTTCTCTTTTTTGTTTGCTTTGTAGATTGAATTTGTGTATAATCGACGGAATTGGTTTTCTTAAGGGATTGAAATAACAAGAAGTCTCTTTCGACTTTCCTGAGTATTCTTATTGCCCTTTTTTTGGTGAAAAATCATGAAAAAATTGATGTGACTTTATGTGTTATTTTAAAGATTCCAAATGTAAAATAGGGCTTATTTGAAATCACCTCCACTTGTCATTTCAATATCAGTTTGCATTGTGAGTTTTGAAAACTTATAATTTGCACCTCTTAACGGAATGGGAAAAATTGTCAAAAAAGTCATAAGCTTATTTCACTTTTGCCAATTCGGTTCTAAACTTTTCAATTTTGCTAATTGACCCCTAGACTTTTCACTTTTGTTAATTGAGTCCATTTGGCCAGTTTCAACTGAAAATTGCTAATGTGGGTGGGTTTAAATTTCGATCCAAAAATTGTATAATAGGGTCTACTATTGTTCTTCCGCTAAAAGTTCCTTTCGAGCTTTCATGCCTTTTTTTGGGCCAAATTTTGTTGTTTCTTCGTGTGCATGGCACGACGCAATGTAAGACGATCGAGAAAACCATAAAAAACAAACTAGACTCAGTTTCCTCTGCCGCAGGATGAGGTTACTATCGATAATAGAGCTTAGTTAATCACCGCTTCTTTGTTACACATGCCAACTTCTGTGGTGATTTAGACAAGCTCGATTTCTTCTGTTCATATACCACCGAAATTTGAGTACAATGTTGGTCGTGTGGTGTCTCTTGGGGTGTATGCGTATGTTTATTTTCTCATACATATGGCTCATATATTTTTGCACTAATGTTTACCATTAGCAATGAGTCGAAGCTCACTGATATAATAATCAAGTACCTTGCCAAGAAGATTCGTGAAACACGGTCTCTCTACTTCATGAAAAACGCAATTGGAGTGGATCATTTGGCAGATGATGTGATTTCCATGCTAAGAAATGGCCGAGAGGAGGATGTGCGCGTGATAGGCATATGTGGTACGGAAGGAATAGGTAAGACAACTGTGGCCGGAGTTGCTTGTGATGACATTCTTGGCGAGTTCGAGTGTTTTGTCTTTCTGTATAAAATTGGAGAAGCGAATCGTAGTGATCTTCTCAGTCTGCAGAAAAAGTTACTCCAAAATCTCGTGAAGGTGAAAGGACTGAAGATGTACGACGATATTCACACCAACATCAATGAGATAAAGAGTAGCATGTGTCGTAAAAAGATACTTCTTGTTCTTGATGATGTTACTAAGATAGAACAAATGGACTATTTTGGAGCCGGAGAGCGAGAATCGTTTCACCCCGGGAGTAGAATCATGATCACAACAAGAGATCGAAATTTGCTGAAAGTTCTCAAGGTAGATGATGAGTACATTGTCAGAGGATTGAGTCCAGACGAAGCACTTCAACTCTTTCGTCGCCATGCCTTCAAGAGAGAAGAACCTAAACAAGCATATGAGGAGTTGTGTAAAAGTCTGACTCATTATGCAGGAGGTCATCCACTGGCCCTTAAAAGATTGGGTTCCTATCTTAGCGATAAGTCAAAAGATCAATGGCATGAAATATTGAATAAATTGGTGAGAAGCCCTTATCTTGATTGCATTGATGGAGTTTATAGTTCACCTTCTCTCCCATTGCAATCCGTTGGGCCATATGGAGGTCAAGGTGGCTTTGCTTACGATGATGGAAGATACTCTGGTGTAAGGCAAATTAGTGTCCTTGTTAAGTCGGTTATCGAATCCATCATCATCGATTATGATCAAGACGGGTGTTTGGTGCGTTCTTCCGAGCACGGTGGACATCCTGATGGTGATATTTTCACGGTCAGTATCTTGTTATTCTCAAAAGTTTCACGGGGTTATTAATTTTTTTGCTTCTAAATCATCATGATTAAGAGATGGATAGAAGTAACTATGTGCTTAAATCACACATTAGCACATGACACAAGAAGCGATAACATATCATATTAAACTCTCATATATTATTGTTGTAAAGAAGTCCATGTAGATGGCACAATATATGAGAAGGACGGAAAAAAAGAATGAAATTTAGGTTCCATATACGAATAAAAGTACTAATTCTCGGGAAAATTGTCAAAGAAGTCCTAAACCTATTGTATAGCGGCCAATTCAGTCCTAAACCTTTTAAGTTTGTCAATTCAGTCCTAAATCTTTTTAATTCTTGCCAATTCAGTCCTTCAGGCCAATTTTGGCCGGCCGGCGCTAACGTGGCCGCCAGCCGTCCGACCAACGCTGACGTGGCAATTTTATTATTATTTTCAATTTTTTAATCTTTTTTTTTTTTTTTTCTGATTTCTTCCTCTGGCTGGTCCGGCGACCGGCCAGAGGGGAGGGCCGGCGAGGTCGACCTTGCCGGCCTCGCCCAGTAGAGGCGAGGCCGACGTCGCCGTTGCCTGGTTCGCGACGGCGAGGTCGAGCCTCGCCATCACCTGGGTCGACCTCGCCGTCGCAACCCAGGCGACGGCGAGGTCAGCCTTGCCGCTGCTGGGCGAGGCGAGGCCCAGCAGTGGCGAGGCCGATCTTGCCGTTGCGACCCAGGCGATGGCGAGGTCAGCCTCGCCTCTGCTGGGCGAGGCCGGCGAGGTTGATCTCGCCGGCCCTCCCCTCTGGCCGGTCGCCGGACCGGCCAGAGGAAGAAATCAGAAAAAAAAGAAAAAAATATTAAAAAATTGAAAAAAAAATAATAAAAAATTGCCACGTCAGCGTTGGCCGAACAGCCGGCGCCGGCCGACGGCCAAGTCAGCGCCGGCCGACGGCCAAGTCAGCGCCGGCTGGCCAAAATTCACCTGAAGGACTAAATTGACAAGAATTAAAAAGGTTTAGAACTGAATTAGCAAATTTAAAAGGTTTAAGACTGAATTGGCCACCGTACAATAGGTTTAGGACTTCTTTGACAATTTTCCCACTAATTCTCAATCTTTGAAAGAGGATGGTGACACTTATCAAAATTCTTGCACTTGTTGCAGGTCAAACTAGATTATCCAAATGAATACCTGACTTCAATCTCGGGCCATATAAGAGACGACCAAACTCCTATTGTTATTCAATCTCTCAAATTCCATACCAACAGAAAGACATATGGACCATTTGGCTCTGAACAAGGGCAATCTTTTCATTTTCCACAAGTTGATGGGGGAAAAATTGTTGGGTTTCATGGAAAATGTGGCAACCATCTTGATTCAATTGGAGCACGCTTTGGGCCAATTTCTCGTGCCTATCCTTTTGAAGTTGTGGGACCATATGGGGGTGACCGTGGTACAGACATTTGGGATGATGGGAAATACACAGATGTGAGGGAAATCGTTATAGGCTTCGATTCAGCAATAAAGTCTATCTCTATTTGGTACGACAAGCATGGACGTCCAATGGGTCCCTTCACACATGGCACAAGTGAAGGAGGCGAAACATATAAGGTAAGTCATTAGTATTCTCTCTCTCTGTTTTTTTTTGGTTTGTATAGCCATGTTGCGCTCGTTTAAGCTATCGGGAAATAGATAGGCCCAAAAGGAGTCAAACTCAAATTCAGAAGAAATGAAACATCACAAATCCAAGAAAAGTGAACGTAATAATCATTATCAGATACACGTTATTTCATATGTTCAATCTCATTTCTTGAACTTTTGTCTTGCTTTCCTCACCTTCAAATATTGATTTTTTTTTTCCAGATTAAACTTGACTACCCACATGAGTATTTGACTTCGGCCTCGGGCCAAACAGAAAAGGTTTCTGGACTTGTCATTCTTCGGTCATTGACAATCCACACTAATGTTAAGAGTTATGGACCATTTGGAACAACAGAAGGCAGGTCCTTTTCATTTCCATACACTGGTGGCAAAATTGTCGGGTTTCATGGGAGTTGTGATGGCCCTCGTCTTGAGTCCATTGGAGCTTTCTATGAGCCGATTCCTCATACATATCCCATTAAGGTTTTTGGGCCTTTTGGAGGTGCAGGTGGAGATTCCTGGGATGATGGGCAATATATTGATGTAAAGAGGATTGTTGTCAGCTACGAATCCTCCATTAATTCCATTGATTTTGAGTATGTCAACATGGATGGTTCTACTCGATTAACTAGGCATAAACCAAGACTTCAGGGACGTATTTATGAGGTTGGTAAACTAATTTCCTTTATTAATTTTCACTGTAAGGATCAGAAGTATAAAATTTTCGATAAGTGAATGATTCTATTTTGCAATTGATTGAAACCAGTCCCTAGGACTTCTATAATTAGGTTGTTTCTTGGCCAGATTTCTTTCTCAAGTGGCATGGTTGTCTTTGGAAACTACAAGCAACCATCTTTTATTTTGATCAGTTCAATTGCTATTTTTTGTTTCTTTTTGAAATAGAGGATGTAAAGTCTCGGCGAGGAAAATAAAAGTTGATAATGATTCTGTATAACCTTTTCAATTGATATTATTTGATTTGCCTCATATTTCCCAAGACTAGTTAGTGAATTTATTTATTATATGTGAAATACAACGATTCACATCCATCGAACCCTTACATGATCATCTTCAGTTACTTCTAATTTGCAGGTTAGATTGGATTACCCAGATGAGTTTATAATCTCAATTTCAGGTTTCTTCACCGGTGGTATCAACTCGCTCACATTTCGAACCAATAAAAGAATATGGGGACCGATTGGTAGGGAGGAAGGGGATTACTTCTCCTTACCATCGGAAGCTGGCAAAGTTGTCGGCTTCTTCGGGAGGAGTGGTGAACATCTTGAAGCAATGGGAGCATATTTTGAATCAGTCTCACTTCTCTACCCAATTAAATCAATTGGGCCATTCGGAGGTCTCGGTGGATGTGATTGGGACGATGGGACATTCAGTGGTGTGAGGGAAATTGAGGTAATTTATGACTCTGTTATCAATGGCATTAAGTTTGTGTACGACAAGAGTGGTGAACAAGTATGCTCAGTTACGCACGGCTCCAAAGCCAAGGGCAACAGGGTTAGTGTTTTTCTTCCCTCTCCAACTAGTTGCTGTTTTCTTATTCATAACTCATTGGTCGAGACAATGTTGATATGTGTCCGGTCATGTGATTTAGTATATTAAACTCGACAAAAGGGTCTTGTTTACACCACTAAGAGATACTTTTGAGACTACATAGGTTATATTGGATTATCCACGGGAGTACTTGACATCGATCTCTGGTTACAAGCGAGCGGATGGTCACAATAATAATGGTATCATTCAATCGCTCACTTTTCACAGTAATAGAGGAATACACGGTCCCTTTGGCAAGGAGAAGGGGGAGTACTTTTGGAATCCATCGACTGGAAGCAAAATCATCGGCTTTTATGGAAGATGCAGCGAGACTCTCAATTCCATAGGAGTGTATGCGGAGGCCATACCGCACCTGTATCCTTTCAAAACCATTGGACCCTTTGGAGGCTCTGGTGGGACTCCATGGGATGATGGAGTGCATACTGATGTGAGAGGATTTCAGATCATTTATTTCCATAAAATTTACGCCATCGAGATTGCATACGATGACAATGGTTCCTTAGTTACACGCTCTCAACATGGCGGAGAAAAGTACAGTTTTTTAAGCCGCAAGGTTAGTCCATATCTCAATCCCTCTCTTTTTTATTTCCTTTAGTGTTTTTTCCTGTCTGTAAGTCGTTCATGTATACATGTTGCTTTTCATAATGTTCTCAGCTTCATGCAGCACAGATTCTTTTCATCGAATACTGAAGCTCGTCTTTTGGCATCCTACATATAGAGTTTAAGGTTTGAACTTTCGTACATTTTTCAGAAGTAAAACATGTTTCGCTTTGCTATTCTTGCAGGTCATGCTGGATTATCCCAAGGAACGTCTGGTTTCGATATCGGGTTACCAGAACGGAAATGAAAACAGTCCTGACACTATCATCAGCAACCTGAAAATACGTACCACGAAGACCACTTACGGGCCGTTCGGATTGAGATCATGGTTAAAGGATGAAAGGGAATTTCATATCCCGTCGGCATCAGGTGATGGCAAGATCGTTGGCTTCTTCGGAAGGGCGGGATCACATCTTAATTCTATTGGAGCGCGCTTGGAAGCATATTAGACCAAACCCGTCCCTCCCCCAAGCTAGTCGTAAAAAAAGGAAAATAGTTGCATGAAGATTGCAAGACTCTTCTTCTTCTTCTCTCTTCTTTTAGATGATGCTGAAATTGCTCTTTTTCTCAGGCGTTGTTCTTGGCAAGTTTTGTGCAATCTGATGATTACCTGTGAGAATGCTCTGAGGCGCAGCTGAGGTTATATTTGGGTGGGGAAACTAGTCGTAAAAGAGAGGAAAATGAAGATAATAATAGCATGAATAGTTATTAGAGGGCTATTTTTGAATCAGAGACGGAGATGCACATGAATACATGAATAGAACTTCTCAACCAAAACAAAACCGTTGAATTTGTTGATAGATCGAAGGGTTAAACCGGCACTCCATCTTCGTGTCGGCTCATGTATTGGGAGAGAGATTGTTAAAGGATTAATTTTAATTATAATATATAGCATCCATAATATTTTTTTGTATACACTTCACATCCATTATGATTCATTTAAAAATAGTTCGTCTAATTTTCAAATTGATAACAACCTATTGTCTAAAGATACGTCTTCTTGATATTTAACTTTGACGATTTGTTAATGCAAGAATGACGTGCAAAAGAAGATGGAATGGCCTAGAACAATCATGTAAGATGGAAACTCCTTAATTCTGCTCTAAAATTGAAAAAGGGTTTATGTTTAAAAAATCCAATTATAATCTATAAATTAAATTATAAAACTACTGTCGCGACCCTCTCTAAGCAGCGCGAGCGCGTGAGGGAGTGGGTTTAAAGGTAATGTCGAGAAAGAACTAATGGTCCTCGTTCTGCGCCGGTTCTTTCAAACTTTTACCTTGCGCATTCACTACAAAAAAAACATGTTTTTTGCGACGAAACAATTGCAAAAATCCGTCGCAAATCGATTTTGCGACGAATTTAGCGACGGAAAAAATTCCGTCGCTACTAGGTCGTCGCAAATTTTTGCGACGGAAAAAAAATTCGTCGCAAAATTCGTAGCAAAATTCGTCGCAAAATTCGTCGCAAAAATTTTCCGTCACAAAAATTGCGACGGATTTATTTTTCCGTCGCAAAATTTGTTGCTAATTTGGCGCGAATTTTTTTTTTTTTGTAATTTGCGACGAACTTACTCGTGGCAAAATTCGTCGCAAATTTGTCACGAAAAATTTTGATTTTTGCCATGAACATTATTCATGAACAAATTTAGCAATGATTTTTTTTTTTTTTGGTAACCCAGGGAACCCTGCACGGCCGACAGCCGGGAGGTAAACCCTGGGGGAGACACGTGCTAGCCACCACACACGTGCACCGGTTAAGTCACCCTGCGGCGCCCGGGATTCGAACACCCAACCTTTTGCAAGAGAAAGAGTGCCCTTTCCAGCAGCGCCACCCAGGCGGGTGGTAATTTAGCAATGATTTTTTATTAATTCTTTAGCGACAAACTCTGCGACGAATATCGTTTAGGGACGAAATTAGCGACGAAATTTTATTTTTGTAACGAACTTTTATAATTTGTGATCGTACGATAAAATCATTTATTTTATTTTTCGATTTTAAACTTAATTAAAAGCAAAATTAATTTCTGAAATTTATATTTAACATTGATTAAGCACTTAATAACATCAAAAATTTATAATAATATGAAAATGAAATACATTCATCTACATTTTCCACAAGAATGACATAAATATTTTTCTTCATAGTACACATAATGAGAGAATAAATAATCTTGCACAATAAATAATGACGACAGAAATGAATCAAAAAAGAATATTCGGCTTTTAGCGACAATCCCCATCATATAAATACTAAACAAAACTACTAAAGATACGGTCCATGTGTGATGCTCACTTCCTGCTCTAGTTTTAACAGATGCCAGTTGAAATGTTGTTGCAACCTCTCATTTGCATAACTCATGCAGAAATTGCATCAACAGCCTCTTCACTGTATATGCTGTACTTCCGAGGTTCTACCTGCACCAAAGTGTTATCTTAGCCATAATTTTCTGGAATAGATAACCAAAAAATAAGAGTAGGCTTCATTAAATCTGCAAATTCACACTGCATCTTCAAATTCCAATACCAAGTTAATCACCATAAAATTTCGTCATACTCACCGAGGCATATCTTACAGATGCAACTCAAAAATGGGCAAGAAGAGAAGTTACAAATATCAAATTCAAAATCCAATAAAATCCCAAAAACTACAAAATGAATAGTCAAGAAAGTATACCAGTAGATCAAAGTGCAGCATAAGTATGGCAACCAAAGGTTTTTCATCATCTGGAGCACTTCGTAGATACAAAAGCAGAACATGCATTGCATTGACCATCTCTTCATTGGCCTACTTACCCAAGAAAGATACAACATCCTTCCTCCTGTTATTTCAAACAAGAATACTAAGTATCATGCCAAAACAATGTAGAATAGCTTAGGTTCAATCTGCTACTACAGGTTCTCGATATGTTTAAGTTACTTCCTCAAAACCAAAACCACACTCTCCAACATAATCAGGGGAGACCAAGGTACTAAAGATACATAGATATATTATAAAAGGACATCCAGGTATTTCATACCTTGTAATCCCAATCCCTTTACCGTGAACCCTTCAAAGTACATAAGTGAAAATCCATTGCTACTGAAATGAGATCAACAACACGAAATGGTTATGACAATCGCCATCTGTACTAAATGATTACTTCACATAACATTTTAGACAAAATATGTCCATCCTGATATGTCTAAGTTCACAGTATATTCTCTGTAATGATTGACTACAAATTACATCTAAAAGTACTTTAACACATGAGACAGAATAAATTCTATAGAGAGCGGAGTCTGCAAGATAGCCTAGATCTAAATTAAATTGCAAACACTGCATCTTTAACTAAACATAGATTTACTTGCAACTCATACTCTATAGATGGACTCAACAGAGTAAGCAAATCTTCACAATTTAACCGGTGGTCTGATGGGTTTTACTGTAGGTCCCATAAATTTGTAGTAGATCCTCAATAATCGGACAAAGTATATAAAAACAAATGCCAAGCGCAATGTCTATACCTTGAGCTTAATGCCATTTCCAAACTACACATCACCAGTGACTTTCAAGCTATCCAACTCAACTACACTGGGAATAGACTCGAAGCGGCTCACAAAACTTCCCAACTGAAAAAGGAAGATATAATGAAACATGACATTAATATTCGTAATAGGCGGAATAAGAATACACAACTAAAGTAACCTTCACCTTATCAAATTCAGGTCCCAACTCGATAGAAGGATCTTTGGGATTAGTTCTGGCAGCATTTCTAATTAGAACTCCATTGGATGCGGCATATAGATCCAACTGCATATGAACATTAGAGTAACATAGCCTTCATATCAAGTACAAAATGCAGATTGGAGAGTGTTCTGTAGTTTGTAATACCTGGAGAAGAAGTGCATCTGAAGATGCATTCAGTGGAAAATAACGGGATGAAGGGACGGAAATCTGACGACGTGGTCGTCATCGATGCGGTCCCTGGCCTCGGTGACGACCACGTCGGGGGCCTTTTCGCGGTGCTTCGTGGTGAGCGCCTGGGCGATGCAGAGCCCGCTGATCCCGCCCCCGACCACCACGCAATCAACCAGTCCCCCGCCGGCGGCCCTCGGCTGGGAGATCGCGGGGCCCTCGGCGACGAAGCACCGGATCCCGGCCTCGCCCATGGCCGCCGCTCGCCGACGGCGAGGTCGAGCAGCCATGGGCGGGGCCGCTCGACCTCGCCCAGATCTGCACGAGGTCGAGCGGCGGCCGACCTCGTCCAGATCTGGGGCGAGGGAGGGCTTGTGGGCGCGGAACGAGCGTATGGCGACGGAGGAGGAGGCAACGGCGGCGGTGGCGGTGACGGAGGCCATCATGGCTGGCGGAGGGGAGGAGGGAGCGACGGAGAGGTATTTGGTGGAAGAGGGGGGGATATGAGGAGTAGGAGAGAGAGAGAGAGAGAAAAATTGGGGTTAGGGCGGGCAGATTTGAGAGATTGCCGGGGAGCTTGCGACGGATTTTTTTTTTTTCGTAGCAAATTGGGACGGATTTTTTTTTTCGTCGCAAATTTGCGACGGATTTTTTTTCCGTCGCAAATTTGCGATTTTTTTTTTGTGCAAATTTGCGACGGAATTCCGTCGCAAATTTGCGACGGATTTTTTTTTCCGTCGCAAATGTGCGACGGATTTTATTTCCGTTGCAAATTTGCGATTTTTTTTTTTTGCAAATTTGCGACGGATTTTTTTTCCGTCACAAATCTGCGACGGATTTTTTTTTCCGTCGCAATTGCGACAGATTTTATTTCCGTCGCAAATTTGCGATTTTTTTTTGGGGCAAATTTGCGACGGATTTTTTTTTCCGTTGCAAATTTGCAACAGATTTTTTTTTTCCATCGCAAATTTGCGATTTTTTTTTGGCACAAAATTTGTGATTTTTTTTTGGCGCAAATTTGCGACGAATTTTTTTTCCGTCGCAAATCTGCGACGGATTTTTTTTTCAATTCGTTGCAAATTTGCGACGGATTTTTTTTTCCATCGCAAATTTGCGATGGAGTTTTTTTCCGTCGCTAATTCTGTCGCAAATTTGCGATGGATTTATTTTCCCGTCGCAAATTTTCGACGAATTTTTATTTCGTGGCAAATTTCGTCGCAAATTAGCGACGAAAATTATTCGTCGCTAATTTACGTCGGAAAAAAAATCCGTCGCAAATTTCGTCGCAAATTAGCGACGAAAAATTCTCCGTCGCAAATTTCCGTGGCAAAATCCATATTTTTTTGTAGTGATTGTTGGGAAGTTCATTTAATTGATCTATCTATGAAGTCCATCATTATTCGGAGTTGCCATTATCCTGTTGGGGCCGATTACAAATCAAGTGAGCCATGAGAGGCTATCCCACTTCCAACGAGAGATCTAAAGTTCAAAGACTTGATTACACTGATTGTCTAACCAATGCCATCTCGGTACCTTGTCACATGCGATATTT